ATCAAACTCTTTGAGTGAAACTGAGAATTTATTGGTGAAACTGATTAATAGCTGAGGCCCCAAAGTTTGAGTACTCTCTTTTCATTGTCAGATTTGCAAAACATTTTATAGTAGAGATTCACGTAAGTGTTTATTGTCATACTTACCTTTTGTTGTGAAGATATTTTGTAGTGTGATTTAGAGTTCCTGATTGTATTGTAGTGTAAATGTAATTTTTTCTCAAGCAAGGCAGTATGATTCAGACAAAGGTTTTGTAATGTGTAATACATACGTATACATAGATATATATAAATCGACATAACTTCAAAAAACTACTTCCTGAGTGCAATGGTTCACTAGATAACACATAAAAACAATAAATAGCAGTGCCTGGGAAGTAAAGGAACGCAGTGGGAAAGAGGAATTTGAACTAGGGTACTGGATCCCATAGAAATCACTGATTACAGCATCAATGTTTTCAGATTTGGACTTGAGCACAGGAACTGCAGATGGGAAAAAGAGGAGAGGAAGGATAGTATGACAAGAACTGAAAAGCAGTAACCAACAAATGTCTCACCAAAAGGGGAAGATAAGATAATGTTTCCGAGGAAAATTCTTTGGTTACTCCTCAGACCAAGCAAGCAGCAGTCCCAGAACTCTTTACTGTGTACTTGTAACCCATTCCCAGCAGTCATTCATTTCTTGTTGCTAATGAAATTAAAGAATGGGCAAGCAAAGGTTTTTCTGTGAAAGTGTAAGAGAGAGGAACTGGAAAAAGTGTTCTCAGCAGATATAAAACTGATTTTTTTTCAGAGCATCAGTGCTGATTCAGATTTGTTCCTTACAAAAATGCAGCTGCTTTTAAGTGGATCTTGTGTGAATAAACAATCCGTGTTTTAACAGTTTCATTTTGAAGTCAGGCATTTTTGACTCAAGGAATATACCTTTTTCTCCACTCATTCCTTTGTCTGTTTTCAACTTCACTGGGCCGTTCCCGTGAGTCACTATTTAACAAGTGTTATATAAAGATTGCATTTAGACCAGCAAACTCTAGTTGACATTTACTGTATGCCATAGTGTTTTCTAATATTTGTTCCACCAGTAAAGTAACACGGGAAAATCAGCATTCCATCTTTATGCCAAGCTACTAATAGAGCCTCTATCAGCCTACAGGCATGTCTCAAAATCCCGAGGAGCTTTGAGGTAGAGGCTCCTTAAGCTAGGTACCATGGATGGAGTTGTCTAATGAGAAGTGCTTCTGTATTTTTCTAGTTTTCACTACTCTAAGGCATCTGTGTACACAAATAGCTTCTTTTTTATGGAAAAACTGCTGCTTATTGTATGGTTGATGACAAAAAAAAAACAGTACTTCGATAATTCTAGGTGCAGGCACAAGGTGAATTCTTCAGTTGGTGATGGAGTTATTTTTCTAAGTGTGAAATTTTTATCAATGGAATTTGCTATTCTGAAAGACTTGTTTACTTTTTAGACATAGAAAGTGAATATATATATATGATATAGATATTATATATATATTCACTGTTTATATTAAAATATATATATATGTAAAATATATATTTATTTTGAAGGAGCCAGACTTCAAATGTGCTTGGTCTACTTTCTCTTCAGATTTTTACTTAGCTTTCCATTTAGATTTCAAATTGATGTAGAACATTACATATAATATGTTACGTATAGCATAGAATATACATTATATATAAATATCTTGTGCTAATTATGTATTACACTACATAGTATACCTAAACTGCAAGGTATTCTCCAAAGCAGTAGGGAGAAAAATGTCATCAGAAACTGGATGAATTACACAGAGATCCAAGCATACATGAGCATGGTTGAGCCTCATCTGCTTTTAGACTATACAACAACTTGGCTTTTTATCATGTGGAAAAGCAACCCTCAGGGATCGTGTAAACCTAGATCTTTGGCTCTAAAGGAAAACTCTGGGGTTAGAGGAAGAGGAATTGTGGGATCACGTGTGACCTCAGCGCTTGTGGATGACACCAAACTGTGTGGTGTGGTTGACGTGCCTGAGGGATAGGCCATTCAGAAAGACCTAGACAGACTTGAGCAGCAGGGCCAGGAGAACCTCATGAGGTTCAACAAATCCAAGCACAAGGCTTTGCACCTGGATTGTGGCACCCCCAACTATCAGTACAAGCTGTGGGATATAAGGATAGAGAACAGCCCTGCCAAAAAAAAAAGGGGGGGTACTGGTAGATGACAAACTGAATGTGAATCAGCAATGTACCTTCGTAGCCCAGAAAGCCAACCATATCCTGGACTGCATCAAAAAGTGTGACCAGCAGGGTAAGGGAGATGATCCTACCTCTGTACTCTGCACTGGTGAGATCTCATCTGGAGTACCACAACCAGATGTGGAGTCCTCAGTACAGAAGAGACATGGACCTGTTGGAGCACATCTAGAGGAGGGCCACCAAAATGATCCAAGGGATGAACACCTCCCTTGGGAGTGTTCAAGACCAAGTTGAATGGGGCCCTAGGCAACCTGGTCTAGTACCAGATCTGTAGATTGGTGGCCCTGCCTGTGGCAGGGGGTTTGGAACTTGATGATCCTTGGGGTCTTTTCCAACCCAAATGATTCTATGATTCTATTCTATGATTCTATGTTGGAGCACTTTCCATATGAGCACCGGCTGAGAGAGCTGGGGCTGTTCAGCCTAGAGGACAGAACTCTCTGGGAGACATCATAGCAGCCTTTCAGTGTCTAAAGGTGGGCTGTAAGAAAGAAGGGGACAGACTCTTGAACAAGGTCTGTTGTGACAGGACAAGGGGAAATGGTTTCAAACTGACAGAGAGGAGATTTAGATTAGATAGAAGGAAGAAGACTTTGACCACTAGGGTGGTCAGGCACTGGCACAGGTTTCCCAGAAAGGCTGTGGATGCCCTGTTCCTGGAGTCGCTCAAGGTCAAGCTGGACAGGGCTCTGAGCTGCCTCATCTAGCTGTAGGTGTCCCTGCTCATTGTATGGGAGTTGGACTAGAAAATCTAGAATCTATAAAAGCTTACTAAACAAAAAGCAAACCTGCTTCCCCCAGAATTTTTAGTGTCTCAGCATGAGTTGTTCTTATAACTTAAAATATTTTGATTTTTATTATTGTTTATAGAAGTAGCACATGGACCAGCCAAAAGAGGGTCTTGTAGTAGGGACTATACATGGATGTGCACACTTCTTTCAGAGCCCTTGTAGTCTAAATAGATGGGGCTCACCAGCCCCTGGCAAGGAAGGGAGAGCAGCAGGCAAGGACAGGCGTGACATGCACCACTTGAAAGTGGTGCATCCTCACAATGTTGTGTTTCTGGCTTACTGAAGCGTATAGATGCTCCTCGTGCTGAGCTAACCATACTTCAACATTTGCTAAATGTTTCTATAAAGTATATGAGTGAGAAAAAATGAGACACTAAAAACTTGTGCAAAATCTGGGACGCTTTTGTTTCAGTTTCTGTTGTTTGTTTTAAGTCACCCCATGTGCTTATGTGAGACTCTACTTGTATTTATGGTGATGAAAAGAATTAGTAAAGGAGAATGGGCTAAAAGGTTGGAGAACAGAAAATATTTTTTTCAAATGGGAACAAAAGTATTTTAAAAATGAGATTCCTGCTGTTTTAGACCTGATTCTTGATCAGTGTAATCTCTGGATTTGGAACTGCGTGATCAGGAAGGGATTAGTTAACGAGCAAAGAGGTGGCCTCTTGCAATGTAAACTTCAGGCATGCTTGTAAATGACAGTGAGGCATGCCCTGTAGGTGCAATGTGAACAGGGTCAGCAGGCTGAGATAGCAGTGATGCTGGGTGAGTAGGACTGAGTCAGGATAACTGCGTATATAGAGTCTGTAAAAACAACATACCCAAGGATCCATTACTTTAAAGAGACTGTATTGAAGAAATGTAACACTAGGTTATGTTATCTGATCCCCTGGTCTGCTTTTTTCAGGATTCTGCTGTACAGGGTGCTTTCCTGCTTTACTAAATTCACTTTTTAAAGGTTTTGTGTGATTGCTATTGCACACATTGCTGAACATAACTATGCATTACAGCCATGCCATTGCAATGCAGCATGCGTACAGCTTCTCTTTAACAGGTAGCAAATGAGTTGGGGGCAGGGGGTTCTGTGAAACAGATCCTGTTTTGGCATGTTTATAAGCATGTTATGAATTACATAAAAAAAACGTATTCAGGAGTTAAATGTCTCCTGGGGTGAAAACAAGGGAGGTTTTCCTAAGGGGAAAAAAATTCAACACAGTTAATCCCAATTAACTTTAGCTTCAGGCGAGGGTTTTTCCCCCCTTCTCCTCCCCCTTCCAGAGGAAACACTGAATTCATTCACAAAAACAAGAAATGCAGTGTCCTGGATGAAACAGAACACTGACAGAGTAATGAGTGCAGATGAGCCACACAAATTGATGTGCATCTGTCTTAAGATCAGCAACAGCAGCAATAAAAAGGAAATCTGTAAATACAGAAACTGTAACAACAGTTACATTCTCCTGTGGATTATTCAATATATGTAAGGAGAATCCATGAAACCCAGTGTGGTGGTAGCTCATCAAATCACACCAACAGCCTCCAGCACTGGAAGTATTGCTTTGGAGCTTTACACTCTTGCAGGGAAGTCACAGCCCGTCTGTAGACCATACTTTGCATAGCTTTTTGATAACTGAAGAACTTTGGACTGTTTTTTATATTCCCCTGGTTGAACAGTAGTACTTACACAGGAGCTAACATGCTTATTTTGGTTTATTATGTGTGGACTCTTACGCCTTAAAATTGGTAGCAAGAAATTCTAGATGTTTTATTGTAAAACTGTAGTGATTGTTTTGCTAAATAAAAACAAGCTTTTATATTGCATTACTTTTGCTTGTGCCCTGCCCACCTCAGAAGAGTTGCTAAATAGAAGCACCCATCTTAAAATATAAATGTTATCTTAAGCTTATTCCATTATTTCAGCAGTGTTTAGTGTAACCCTGTCATTTTCTAATAGCAGTCCAGCTGCCAAGGCTCTCTGGGAGTCCTTCATGAACCTCAAACAGAAGGAAGCTGTGATGGAGGCCAGGAGACACCTGGTGGAGGCAGCAAGCAGAGAAAATTTACCCATTAAAATGAGCATGGGTGAGTAGCATGGCATACCCTTCTCTGCACAGTAGTAACATAGAAGGTGACAGCTGCTCTTCTTCCATTTAACCCTTTTGGGAAAAGCCTGTGTCCACCTTCAGATTTGAGGTGTGCACTGTGATGCTACAGAATCTTCCTCATACAGAAATGGGAAGAAAATGTTTGCTAGAGCTCAGGTGTCATGTTTTAAATGCGGTGACAATAATAAGATTGAAAACAGTTATGAAGCATTGGAGTTCTATGAAGGATTTTAAAGGCGTGCAGTTGTTTGGCATTGTTGCTTGTCTTTGTTCTGTAAAGAATGAGAATTTGGGTATTCTTAAGAAATCAGCAGGATACCCATCCTTGGCAAGCAGAAGGTTTATGTAGCTACTGGCCTAATGAAATTTGTACAGATCTTGTGTCTAATTACGTTATCTAGGTAGCAAGGCTTATATGAAATGAGGCTGCCTGGATCAAGAGAGTTTAAGCTGAAAACCATGTCTGAGCACTTTTTAAACCTGATACACCTAAATTCTTCAAAATATTAGAAATATAGAATATCAATAATTACTTTCGATATTTTTAGTGTATTATTCTAATTATATGCTATACTTAGTGAAATGCAAGAACTACTGTAAAGTTAGGCTTATTAAAACAGTGATATGGCTCTATATCTTATTATTTTTTTTCTTATGGAATAAGAGTAATAGGCATTTATCTCAGACTCCAGTGTCTACTGCCAAGATACTGTGGAGAAATTAGATGTACAGCCAACTTGTGAACTCTTAGCAGCTACAACATTTCATATATTGCAAATACCTAGAGCATACGTTTATTAGATTATTAATCAGAAATGCTAGATGTGTAATCAGTAATTCTGTAAACTTTTCCAAAGAAATGGAAAAAATGGAAAAGGAGCAGCTCTGAGAGTGTTATTGCAAATTAACCTAAAGGAGGGGAGCACGGTAAAGGATAAAATTGTCTTTAAACTTTCTCTGATAATGTGTCTGATTATTCACTGTAGTAACATTAAATGTCTTTACATTTCATATGCCTCTGGAAAAAAAAAATACTGTTGTTGGAATTCAACCTTTTCTTAAAAGTAATTGCTTCTGATCTCTGTGACATAATCTGTCAACCACCTTCAACTCTCTGTGTGGATGACTACATCAGCCACCCTTTCCACGTGGCCTCTTCGTATGGTATCCATTCATGGCTGCAATAACCTTGGTTCTTAATCATAGTAACTGGTACTCATCTAATGGCAGCCTAAATGTCTGATGTAAGCTGACTCTATGTAGTGCTATGTAAAAACATCTCATGGGTGGTGATGAAACAAACTTATGATGCTATCATTTTTAAGACTTACTTTTGTTTGCAGGATGCAATATAGGTTAAAGTATTAGTATTATTAATATTAGTAATTAGTAACTTAGTAATCACTATAGAAATTTTGCTTTGTGAATTGCTTATTTTATGTTGGAGTCATAATTCATTCTAACATAGTTAATTTTTTTAACTGAAATTCACATCAAGATGTCACTTTGTCTGGTGACACATGTTAAAGAGTGATGTATTAGAGCAGATCTACATCATTAATGTTCATTACTCATCTGTCATGCAACAGAACATCTTAAATCTGTCAGAAAAGCTGGAAATGAAGTTGACTATCAGTGAATTCTTTTGCTGAGAAGAAAGACTGTTCTGTGGACTGCTCTAGTTCTGGTTGTTGTGTTTAATTCCGCTGTGACTGTGTTAGGAGGCAGCGCTGGCTGAAAAGAGGGGAAATGCTTTCAGTGTTCGTACTCTGCTTTTACTGGAGTTATTTTGAGTTTACCTCGGGCTTTGCATAACCTTGATTGCACACTGGTTTTCGCAATACTTGGAGTGTTTTCTGAGTCTTGTATGGCCCTAATATTAAGTGTCACAAATAAGTTTTCTAGAATAAGAATTCCTTCTTACTCTCTTTACTAAGACCAGTTGTATCAGAGTGTTTTCCTTGCTGCTATTTTTTTTTTTTTTTTTTTTCTGGCTTTCCCCTGGAAATAAGGAGTGAATTACATTTGAAAACAAAGCTTTAAGTTCCATTTGGTGTAGCTGAGCCCTCCTGCAGTGGCCACCTGGCTGAAAGCTGTATCGTGTGATGCTGGCAGAGCAGAAGTCCTTTGCAGCAATGAGAAACCCAATCCTATACTGTTTCAGTATTTTTGGAGCAAATTAAATTCTATTGCTTTCTGGGTTTTGATGGCCTGTGCTTGCCATGCTTTTCCTGCAAATAATGGATGTATGGTTCTGATTTGCTCTTTCTATGCTTTGTTGCACGTGGCAGGAGGTTTACCAACTGGGGGAGGATCCACAGTTTAAGCATTTGCTTTCTTGAAGAGACCCGCTGTTGAAGAGGGCAAATCATCTTCTCCCATTTCCCACAGATATCTCTTCTAGGCTATGGAGAACTCTCCTGTCTTCCTTTAATGGCAGCAGAGCTGGATAGATAAGTTCTGAGGAAGGAAATCAACAATTCTGACTGTATTTTTTCTTTAATCCAAGCAGATTGAACTGCTGGTTTCAGGTGCTCTTGATTTACACATTCCTTATATTAGTTGTATCTACCAAAGCAGTGGTGGGCAAAATCTGGAAGTCCTCTCAACTATTTCAAAATAGTTTAATGCAGAAAAAAGTTGGCTGAAGATAGGAAATGCAGAGTTGGCAACATTTTGTGGAAAAGTCTGTGGAGGGACTCTTGGAGCAGATTCAAATGTAATACTATCTCTGTGGCATTTATAAACAAACTGCAATTTCTCTTATGCTGAAACAGTCTTAGGTTTTCAGGTGGGCAATTAAGTGTTCTTGTATGACGTTCAAGACAGAATTGCATGTGTTTTATTTTCCCTTTTTTTATTTATATATAAGAAAAGCAAGAGTTTTGTGTCATTTCAGTCTGTGAGTGAAAGAACTGCATCACCATTACAAAATTTAATGAATGACATCGATGAGTAAGCTGTTCAGAACTGTTTACTGGCAGTAAAAACTTTCTTTTTTCCTTCAAAGAAGTCTTGGAAAATGGAATCACAGAGAAATACAAAGAAAAAAGTGATCACATCCATGAAGCTACTCTGCCGTTTTCATAGGGAACAAAACCTGATCTCTCTATCTACATGGTGTATTTTGTTTTCTGAGGTCAAACTTGGAGAAGACAGGCAAAGCACTGTTCAGAATTTCAACCAGCATAAAAACTATTATGCTACATGCAGATCACTTCTTAAGAAGTACATACCATACTTATGTCATACATAAATGATATTTAAAGATGAAGTTTCCTTTGGAGTTTACTAATGCTGTCAGTACTGACTTTTGTGCAGTATTTGCTTGGTGTTGCTTATTGTGGGCATGTTTTTGATAAATCTAAGTCTTAGAAACAGCCCTAACCCTTTCAGCTATCCATAGTTCCCTGTTTTGACAGTGTGTTTACATGTAAACAGTAGGTGGAGCTGTCCTTTGCTAGAAGTCTGCTTAAATAAAGATGTATTAAAATACTTTGGCATAATGAAAACAGTGACATTTTATTTTATTGGAAGAATTAAGTTTGTTTTTGTAAAGTTCTTTGGAAGAAATTTCAGATCGTTGTAATGGCATCCTGGTGAGATTTATAGTGATTCAAGTGAGACAGTAAAGGGATTGCTTATACTTGGCTCTTAAATTGAGGGTCTGCAAGGAGTTCTGCTCTGAGCAGCAGCCTGATTAGCAGTACAGCAGAAATACTGTTGTTTTTTCCACTCCTCTACTTCCAGTTCCCATCATCATAAGTGCAATGCATATCTTAATTGTCTTCTGAACGGGATCATCTGTGAATCTCCTCTTGAAAGCTTTGCTGTTAGCGTAGTCTTTGGCAATAATAAAAAGTTTGCTGCAGATGTTCTGTGGTTTTAGAAACACCCTTGCTCTTCTGTTCGGAAAGAACACGGTAAATTTTGGTCAAGCCTGAATTCTTTTATTGTGTTTCTTTACTGGCATGGAGACTGAAAGTTGAAACACTGGTATAGCAACAGAAACAAGGTGCTGTGTGCTATTACATGAGAGCTTGTTATTAGAATAAAGGCCTTTTTGTTTCTTTCCATTGAAACTGTACAAGTGCAGTGGTGTAAGATGGGTAAATGATTCAAGCCCACAAAGTGTGCCATCTGCAGTCAGTAGATAGAAGTGAAGCACAAAACCCTGTGCAGTGGTGTGGAGCAGAAATATTTTGGTAGTATGTTATCTTTGATTAAATTACACTTGGACATGGATGCAGAACTATTTGGCTGACATTGGCATTATTATTTTTTTTAATATATATGTGGGTATTGTGGTCACAGTATTCTTTCTATGTGTCTGGAATTTTTGAATAAAGTCTCTTTTTGGTTTGTTTTGTTTTTGTTTTCTTTTTTGTTATAGACAATAAACTCAAACACATTTAACTTGTGGCCAGGTCTCCTTCTGTGTCTGACTGTGATTAAATTTGAAGATAATTCTTAAAAATTTAGAAGAAAACAAATGTGTTGCTCTTGCAAATATATCATTTCACTGTTTATATTCTTTGCTAATGTAATACTGCCAATCATGTATCCAGTTTGTGAAACCTTTTTGTCTTAATACAAGCGTTGTTTAAACGTTGTTTAAAGCTACTTCAGTCTGGTCTTTCTTTCAGCAGAAGGAAACATTAATGTACAGGTAAACTCTTTTTGTTTTTTTTTGTCTTTTGAAACGACTTTAACATAAAAAATCAATAACAATGTCCATTTACAATATATATATCCTTAAGTGGAAAGGAAATTACTTCGTTGTATTAAAGAGCTTATAAATTTAAATATCATTTACTTGCAAGTGTGTCCAGTTCAGTAGAGGGCATGCTTCATGCGTTGTCACCGAAATGAAACATTGCTCATGATATAGCCGTGCTATAAAAGCCTTGTCAAAGATTTCTAAATGACTGTTTTTAAGAGCATCCAGGCCATGACTCATCACGTGATTGCTTAAGA